GAGAGAGGACTGTGAGCTGAGAACCCTGCGTTGGCCAAGAAATCTACTCATGTCCAAGGCAAAAGGAAGATTTCTAGAGGGAGAGTTACTCTGGGTGGACCATCCGCGTGCCCTTTCTGAAGTAACTGCTTGAAAAGTGTTCCTGACCACGTAAGAACTGAATCAGAACGAAGGTGTCAAGACAGGGAAAGATGAAGGGCCGAGAACATCGTGATGAGCGACAAACCTTGTGACTTATGTCCAAGTGTAAATAAATCATGATAATGTGACGATGAGCTATAAATTGTTAATTAAGGTTTCTTGAAACAGAAAAGACACACTGTCTATGAGGAGGTATGTGATAGTTTGGAGTGGAACTTACCGTAAGAGAATAAAAATATTTCAAGCATTTCTACCCTGTGGCTAAGAAAGAGGTATGTCATGGATTGGGTTCTCCGGAAGCACCCAAATTTGGGGTGCAAGATGTTTATTAGGAATTTACACCTGAGTTAGGAGTTGAATCGTGTTCCCCAAAAAGACACATTGAAGTCTTAACCCCCCCTGTACCTGCACATGTGGCCTCCTTTTGAAATGGTCTCTGCAGATATCATCAAGTTAGATGAGGTTGTGAGGGTGGGCCCAAATTCAGTATGACTGGTGTCCTTAAAAGAGAAAATCATCAGGGCCAGCAGGTGACGTAGTGGTAAAGGTGCTGGACTCCCCCTGTTTGACCACAGTTCGAGTCCTGAATCCACGACTTGAAACACACCAGGCACATGTGCGTATATGCCCAAAATCCTAAGAGGAGAAAAGAGGAGAAGGGATTGTGGAGTGGCCATCCCCCAGGGGGTAATTTCTCACTTTCTCTGTGGTGAGCACACATACCCTATAGCAAAATCTCTCTCTCAATAAAAAAAAAAAAAAAAGAGAGAGAGGGAGAAACATCATGTGACAACAGAGACACGGACAGTACTGCGTAGCTATGGAGACTGAGGTTGGAGGGACAACTACAAGCTGAGGAACCTCGAGGACTGACTCCACTATGAGAAGCCAGGAAGAGGCAAGGAGGAATTCTGTCCAGAATCTTAGAGGGAGTTTAGCACTGCCAACGCTTTCATTTTGGACTTCTAGCCCCCAGAACTATGAGAAAAGTTTTGGTCATTTTAATCCACCCAGTATGATAGAGCAGCCTGAGGAAACTAATGTAGCCTGTGAAATAGGAGAGAAGAAGTGTCAGAATCCCATGCATGATCCACACAGCCCGGGCCACCTCAGTAGGGAGCTGTGGTTGCCCTGTGATTCAGTCACAGGATGTGGCTGCCCAGGGAGGCCATGACCTGGGGTGAGGAGACTCCCTGCAGCGACAGGCCCTGAAAGAGCTGACAGCCTGAGGTGTCTGCTGACCACACTCAGTGGTGGGCAATCTTTCCTCCTCCTGGGGAGATGTGGGTGGTTCATCTCCGTGTTCACTAAGTGTAAAATGACTGCGTAGAGGGGATAGCATATAGTCATTTTGTTTTTCAAATAAAAAATAATAAATTTGAAAATGATTTTGAAATAGAAAGATAACGATGATCAAAATAATGTGATAAAAAACTTTAAATTACTAGAAGAAAAAATAGAATTATAAACTCAATTTAGAAAAGAAAGAAGAGTAAAAACAAATGTAGTAACAATACATTTTATTAATAGGAAATAAATATGGTAGAAGCTAGCCAAACAGAATATCACAATAGATGTGAAAATTTTGATTTCCCCTTTCCAATAATAAGGATGCTGAGGTTAGCAAAAACAAATTAAAAATCAAGTTTTAAGCTATTTACAAGAAACATAATATTCTAGTTTGATCTAGTACTAATAACAGAATTACCTGAGTCTGTGTGATTTATCAAAATAGAGGATTATTCCAGATTTGGAGGTCCAAGGTTAGGGGCCATGTCTGGTGAGGGAAGGAGCTCAAGCAAAGAGAAATGTCTGTCTCCTTCCCTCTCCTTATAAACTATTGCGTTGCCAGAAAAGTCATGACATATTTTTCTGTGTTTTTCTGTGTAGAAATGCGTCATGACTCTTCCAATGATCCAGTAGCTAGGACTCAGACATCAGGGACCATCAGTTCCCAAAGGCCTCACCTTTAAACATCACAGTCAGTTTAAGTTTCTGTTCTCACAACACCATTACAGTGGCTCACTATATTTTAACACTTGAACTTGGGGGGACACATTCAAACCATTCCACACAGGTAAAACAAATTGACAACAACCTTAAAAAGTTGAAAATAAAGAAATAGACTAGGATATACTGTTCAGACACAAACAAAAGGTAAGCTGAAATAGGGATATTTGCATCAACTACAACAGCACCTGAGACCAAACTTATTAAATAATTTAAAAGTGAAGAGTACAGTTCAGGGGCCAGCAGATGGTGTAGTAGTTAAGGCACTAGACTCCCATGTAGCTAATGGTGGTTCAAGTCCCAGCCCTGATGACTTGAAAATCATGCTGGGAGCATGTGTGTGTGTGTGCCCAAAATCCCAAGAGGAGACTGAGAGACTAAGATGAGAGTTGCAGAATGGATATCTCCCCTGGGGAGTGATTTCTCTCTTTCTCTGTCTTTGTCTCTGTCTCTCTGGTGAGTGCACATGCCCTATGGCAAAAATCTAAAAAAAAAAAAAAAATAGAGGGGGCCAGGAGACGGTGTGGTGGTTAAGAAGCTAGATCCCATATGACTGACTCTGTACTTCTCTCTCTCTCTCTTGCTCTCTCTCTGTCTCTCATGAATAAAATAAACATTAAAGAACAAAAAAAAAAATTCAGATTTAAAAAAAAAAAATCCCTATTTAAAGGAATGAAAATTGAGAGTGGATTTAGTAAGACAGGAAATAAATACAAAAACATATAAGATTGTAGTAAAAGGCATTCAATAGCCCTTGAAGAAATAGAGAGCTATACCATCTTTTTGAATAATACAACTTCAAATTCCAAAGAGTATTCTTCTCAAGTTAGCATGTAAATTCAATATAATTCCAGTCAGAATCCCAAGTGGAGAGCAAAGTTTTTGTCAGATCAATCCCTATGATTTTAAAGTACATATAAAAATATCAATGTGAGAAAATTGCAAAACTTGAAAGAGAACTCACACCAGTAGATATCAAAGCATACTGTCATGTTCCTGCAATCGAAACACGCTGATATCAACTCAGAAATGAACAAATCAGTTTTGGGAACAGAGTACGCTATAAAAAGATACAGTATATAGGAATATTTTATGTATGCTAAAGAGGCAAAAGGAAGATGGTAAAGTATTGTTGGGGACAGCAGTCAGCTATCCTCTTGAAGAAAATGAGGTTAGATTCTCTTTAGAGTAAAGAGCTGATGTTATAAATGGAGCCAAACAGTAATAGAAGAAAATATAAGCTAATACACAGGGAACATTATGTTGGAGGAGCTCACTCCAGCATGCAAGTAAATCAGTAATCCTGAATGCACATTTGACTGTGTAGAAGATAATGACAGGCGCCATACTCAAAGCCAGAAGAAGAGCGACCTTTTGCAACTCATTTAACCAGGTTCATGTATAATGTCCTAGAAGATCTCACAAGTTGATTATAAAAGAAAACAAAAGATAAACAGTTCGTATAAAAATAGGCCAAGGCCATGAACTGGAAATGGAAATCACCAGTAAACCTGTGTAAAGGATCAGCCCGTGAGCAGTGAGAGAACATGAATTGAAACAACCAAGATGCCGCCATCTGCCCATCAGGGGGGCAAACAGTAGAGAGAGAGAAAACACGCATGCTGTCCCGTGTGTCTGTAGTAGGCACTCATCACGCACCGCTGCACTCACTGCTTCCACCTTTTTCAAGAAAGAAGTGTGGCAATAGTCATTCACATAGTACATGCATTTATCAAGTCCAGCCCCTCAGTACCACTTTCAAGATCCTTTCCCACAGAAATAGAAGTGCTAGAACATCAAGGATGTTTGAATAAGGCTATTTATTCCTGCTCTGGTTACTGTAGCCAAACCTGGAAACAGTCTAAATGTTTACCCACGAAGGAGTGGTTAATTAAACAATGGTATTTCAAAATGAGGTAAACCTGTAGTTTTGGAAAAATATCTAAAAACCTTTAAAGAGCAACTAAGCAGAAGCGTGTGTGTGTGTGTAAACAAACATAGGAAAGATTTTGTAAGGCTCTACTAACATTGATGATCTCAGGTGGGAGACAAAAGTAGGACCTGATTCATTTTTACTTTATATCACTCTGAATGTTTAAGTTGATTACAGTGAGAAAATATCTCTTTCGTATGAAACATAGCAAAAAACAACAACAAAAAAGGCTTATTGAATTATTCACTGTAGTTGTGGCATCTAAACAACCCTTATGAGAGATACTGAAAAATTATCCACATGTCATGTGGAATCTCCTTTATGAAGATCTATGGAAGTGGCTGGCCCCATAGCCTAGTGGTAAGGGAGCTGGATTTCAGTCGACTGACTGGTTCAAATCCCACCCCAGCAGCTTGAAAAACATGCTGGGTGCATGTGTATGCATGCCCCAAATCCCGATAAGATAGAGACTTGGAGGAGAAAGGATTGCAGTATGGCCAAACCACACTGGGGGTGCTTGCTTTCTCTCTCTCTCTCTAGCAATTTTAAAAAAGAGAGAGAGAGAGACTCACAGGAGAAACTTCTTCTTTAGCCTTAATCCCCAGATACCTGATTCATTTGAACATTTGATTCTCTTTTACTCTTGGACATTATGCATCTGGTAATTTGCTTTGGCAACTCGGAATGGCACAAGTTGGAGACTGTACAGCTCCTTCAATGACTTTACCGAGTCACATGGCTTACATTTTAGGCGATTCCTATACTGTTGTCATCATCTTGTTTTCCATTTTTCTTTTTCCTTGTATACATTCGTCTTTGATTTTAGCTGGTTACATTGTATATTATCACTTTAGCTACCTCCAATCCATTTTGGGAGTTATGACAAAATAATAACTAGGAATTTCTCTTATAACAGGAACCTGGGAAGGAAAACAATCTCAACAATGAATAGGCCACCCATCACTACCAACTACAGATGACTTGCTTTTTCATTTACAAAGGTAAGGAAATATAGTTCATAGTTTTAACTAATTCTGATCAACTCAGTAGAGAGTCCTTAACTTACTTTTTTCTTTTCTTTTTCTTTAGACTTTTGCTGTAGGGTGTGTATGCTCACTGGGGAAAGAGAGAGAGGCAGAGACAGAGACAGACAGGCAGTGAGAGGAAAAGTGAGAAATCGCCCTCAGGGAGGATGCCCACACTGCAGTTCCTTCTCTTCCATTCTCCTCCTGGGAGATGAGAATGCTTGCACGTGCACCTGACGCAATGCTCAAGCCCAGTCCGGGAACTTGAACCATGGTCCATCATATGGAAGTCCAGTGCCTTAACCATCACACCACCTGCCGGTCCCAAGCCCTTACCTTTTTATTGTATGTTTATTTACAGATATTCTAAAACATGTATCTAGTTCATGACCTTTAGCTTTGATGTTATTGAATTTAAGTAAACATCAGCAAGCAGAAACAGGAAATTGTGTGAATGTCAGCATGCCTAAAGGGACAAAACTCAGAAGATATGGTCTCTGCTATTAATTAGTATGTGGTTACATTTTTAATAGCATCAATAGCTTCCTCATTTTTAAATGTAGTAGTGCTCCCTGCAGAATACTTGGAGAATATAGTAACATGTAAAATGGAAACTTAAAGTGTTCATAATTCCATCATCTGTAGCTTATCACAGTATTTTGATTTTTTTCTCCCTTGTATGCACACGTAGAAGTATATACATGATTATAATGTTATTTAAGATGATGTTTTTAATGCATACTTACCTTGGCTCCCATTGCTAGAAATGACGTACCTTAAGTGGTGCAGAAGTTGACATCCAGGCACACACTGTGACCGTTTTAACAATCCTTTGCAGTTTACCAGTACATTCCTGACGTATCTCATTCGCCTCTGCCAGACGTCTCCAACTCAGAAGTTCTTGTTAATAGGTCCGTGTGACCTTTGTTAAACATCCGTGTGATGTTTAACCTTTGTATTAAAAACCTTTCCATCCAGGTAGTTCATGGCCTTCCTTCATCATTATTATCTGTTTTGTGCTGTTTAAAGGAACTGATTCTTTTAATGGGGAGGGGGGAGCGTTTGAGAGGGTCTTGCCTTGTATAGTGACTCCTGTCCCCTAGCTTGCTGGTCAGCAAGGGCCAAAGGCAGCCACCACCATGAACCCATGCCTCCCACACAGCCCAGCCTGGTGCACCGGCACCCTCCCACTGGAATCATCAGGACTAGGCCCAAGGAACAGGTTTACAAAAATAGAAGTTTCCCCATTTCTCGCCTACTTTTCCCATTTCTCGCCTACTTTTCCCTAAAGTCAAGTCTGGTACAAAGTAATAAAAAAATACTTTGAGGCTGTCTCATCATCTATCCTTCATTCATGCCAATTAGTCAAGTTCTCATTGAGGATTTTTTTAAACACCCTTTGGAGTTGCTCTTGAAGTGATACAACTTTAAAAGCTGCAAAGTCTTAGAAGTAAAATAACTGGAATGGCATTCTTTAGGGAGGTCGTCCTTCTGTCGGCTCTGTTGAACACTTGAAGGTTTGTTTTTTTACCCTGAGTCTGATGTTATAAAACTTTTCAGGCATTTTAATTCCCCTAGTATTTTTTTCAGAACTTACCAGAATGTTATTATAAAGAGACTAGAAACATCAATTATTTTTTAAATGAATTCAACAGATACAGTGTGGGAAGCAGTAGTTTGTGAAACCTCTCTCCCTGAAGACACCCTATTCTAATACGGACAAATAAAATAGATAGACATGCAGTTTAAAAATTACCAAGAAAGTGATTTGATTGTTGGGCTTTAATAGGTGAGGTTGGCTTGCCATGGTCCTTGCTTCTATTTTCCTGGATGACTTTAGTTATTTAGAGCTCATGATAGAATGGATAATCTCAGTCATTTAGTTCCAGTGCTGGAAACTTCATTTCATTTTGTTTTAAGAATTATTCATTTTATTTTACTTATTACTATTTGCTATAGGGCATGTGCACTCACCAGAGAAAGACAGATAGAGAGAAAGTGAGAGAACAGGCACCAGGCCTGGGACTTGAACTGCAGTCTGCCATGTGGAAGTCCAATGCCTTAACCACTGTGCCATCTGCTGGCCCCAGCTAACAAGTTATTAGGTTTAGCAATACTGTGTTTACTAAAAGCCCAGGGTTCCAAGCATACATCAAAGGCTTTTAAGAAAGTCAGAAGTCTAACTCTCCTTGGTGTATTAGATACTTTTGTGAAGTTTAAGAAAAGACATTTAAATAGGAGAGATCTTCAAGAAGTTCATGGAAAATGCCTATTAAGAGAAAATTCTGCCTGAATTTTCATTTTGTTAGGCACCAAAATAAACTCATACTTGAATTCAACTTTTTCCATGTACTTCTGAAGTCCTCTCATATTGTGGTTTCCTAATTATATGGTAATCCCTGATTACTACATAAGTAACTGACTTTATAAATTCAAATGTATTAAAAGTTAAATGTGAAAATCTTATTAAAAATCAAGAGACACAAGTTTGATCATTAAAAATCAAGAGACACAAGTTTGATCGTCTGATATTTCCCAATGAGAAAAATATATTAGCTTTAGAAGAAATCACAAAAGCAATTAAGTGTGGGGACCAGCAGTTAACATAATGGCTATGTCACTGAACTCCCATGTAGTTGACCGCAGTTTGCGTCCCAGACCCAGTGGCTTAAACTCACACTGGGCGTGTGTGCGTGCGTGCCCAAGATCCCAAGAGGAAAATGGAAGAGAAAGGGTTGTGGCGTGGCCATTCCCCTGGGGGGTGATTTCCCACTTTCTGTCTCTCTGTCTCTGTCTGCCTTTCTGGTGAGTCATGCCCTATAGCAAAAACAAACAAAAAAATTAAGTGTGCAAAAATATAAAGCTCCTTAATAACATAATTATATAATAAATTAAAAGATACCTAGAAACATGAAACAATCTAAATAATATACTGAGCAACAGATTAGTAACTGTAAGATACAAAAACCAGGGAATGAATCACTAATGTCAATAACCATAATAGGTAAATAACAATAACTAAAATACTTAAGACCTCAGTAGATAAGTGGGTCAGACAACAGAAAACTCAAAAGAAGAAATACAAAGAACTAGAAAAAAAATGTGAAAATGATGTTAACCCTCAGTAGTAATTTTTTTAAATGCTAATTAAAATCAGGAGATGTTTTCTTTCACTTGTCAGATTAGCAAAGATATTTACAATGGTAATTGTCATTGCTAAGCATGTAATGAACAAGCTCTCACTTACTGCCAATGTGGGTATGAATGGGTATATTCTTCTTGGAAAGAAATTTAGCAAGATGTATGTAATAAGAGCTTTAGATCATTTTGTTTTGTTTTAGGAGTTTTGCCATGGGGTGCATGCATGTGCCAGGGAGAGACAGAGACAGACAAAGAGACAGAGGGAAAGTGAGAAATCACGACCCCCTGCCCCTAGCAGGGATGGCCATGCCACAGTTTCTTCTTCTTCATTCTCTTCCTGGGGTTTTGGACACATACCCCAATATGCCCATCATGATTTTCAAGCTGCCAACTCCAGGACTTAAACTATGCTTGGCCATGTGGGAGTACAACGCCTTAACTACCATACCACCTGCCTCCCAAGAGCTTCAGATTCTTAATACCCTACTGTGATCTAGTAATTTCAGAAATCTAGTCCAAGAAAACATTGAAGTTAGACGAAGATATAAGCACGAAATAACTACTGTTTTATTACTTCAGAAATAAAACCTTTGAACGGCCTTCAACTATCCTTTAGTATTAACATTATTAAATAAAGATGAACACATAATTATGTTCACACTGTGATGTGTCTTGGAAATTGGTAAATTATTCTTGCAATGAGATTTTTTATAATCAAATGGGGAAATGCTGAAAACGTGAATGTTAAGCAAAAAGTACTGGGTAAACTGGTATTGTAATATTTTTGCTATGAAAAAGATGGAAAGAGGCCCAGCCATAGTGGTGCATAGACAGTGCCGCAGCTTGCGAGGCTGAAACCACATGGGAGGCCCAGGATTTGTTTCTGGGCCAACCTGAACACACAGAGCACACTTGCCTGCACCTATAGTCCCTGCTAGCTGAAAAGCTTGGGCAAAAAGATCACAGGATAATGAGACTCTGTCAGAAGTACCTTTCTTTCTTTCTTTTCCCCTTTCTTTCTTTCTCTACCTCTCATAAATGGAAGAAAAATAGGTAATAACAAATATGCCAAAATGAGTTGCCCAAGAGCAGTAGATCCGTTGGGTGATGAGAAGAATCGTGATGTATTTTCTCTTTTTCTGTGCAAAAATGCTTCATGACTTTGCCGATGACCTAGTAAGTAATGGTTTTTATTCTGATTCGTATGTTTTGGTACTATCCAGATCCTATTACAGTAAATTTTTATAACCAGAAGGAAAAAAATCTTATACGGATTGGTAGCTAGAAATTATACACATGGTATGGGCTTATCCTTCATAGCATCTTTCTTGGAGCATATGGAGTAAAGTACCAGAGTGATGTTTAAGTAAAGATTTATTTTGGAAAGATTAGGGAGCATTGTTGGTAGTGGTTTTGTTTTTAAGTATTGAGAACTTCTTTTTCTTAGAAACAATAGCAATAACAACTGGAATGTAATTAACCAAAACAGACCCTTTATTTCTTACTAATATATTGTTTTTCAGAGTAAAGTTTAAATTCAAAACAGGCTGGTTTTTCTCTCATAGATGTCGTCTGCTGCTGAAAATGGAGAAGCAGCTCCTGGGAAACAAAACGAAGAGAAAACCTACAAAAAGGTGAGCGTTTTATTTTCTGCCTTCAACCAGAAAGAGGAGCACCATTTTATTGTTCGGCATGTTAACGTTGTAGAAGGCCTTTTCTTCCTCCAAAGCAGTTCTGAGTTACCGTCAGTAAATTGTATGTTGCCATTGTAACGGATTACCACAAACTTAGTGGTTTAAACACCACCAATGTATGATTTTGTCGTTGTGAAGGTCAGAAATCCGGCATGGATCTCACCGGGCTAAGATCCAGGTTTTACTGAGCTACGTTCCTTTCTGAAGCCTGTGGGGGAGGGTCTGTTGCTTCTTCTTTTCCAGCTTCTCCAGCCCACCTGCATTCCCTGGATCCTTGTCCCTTCCGCATGGAAGCCAGCAATTGCCAATTGTGACTTTCTCAGAAGCTGTGTCTCGTTGGACCCTTTAAAGGACCTGTGGGATTACCTGGCATCCTCCTGGATAATCCAGGGTGATTTCTTTATTTTAACATCAGCTGATTACTGACCTTAATTTCCCCTACGAACTCAACTCCTCCTTGTAACATAACAACATGTGAGGAGTGCAAGTTTCCAAGAAGTTCGTGGAAAATGAGTATTGTGAAAAAACTATGCGTGGATTTCAAACATTTTTACACCAAAATTAACTTGTATTTTACCACTTTTCCATGAACTTTTTGAAGTCCCTGCATATTCCCAGGTCCCAAGGGTGAGGACATGGGTATGGGCATCCCTGGGGCCATTCTTCTGCCTACTGTAATTATTAATACCTAGAATATTGAGGGAAGGAATTATCTCAAGGCCCAGCAGTACACTATTATTGATTGTTAAATACACCTGAGAAGAAGGTGCTGAAGGGTGTGCAGTGTTGTGTCAGCATACAAATTCTTTCATCGGTTTACTACGTTCTACCCCAATTGTAAACGTGTCTGTCTTTATAGTTCAAAGAAAGGGAAGGAGTTATCTCAAGGCCCTGCTTATTTCTGAGAAGAAGGTGCTGAAGGGTGTGCAGTGTTGTGTCAGCATACAAATTCTTTCATCGGTTTACTACGTTCTACCACAATTGTAAACGTGTCTGTCTTTATAGTTCAAAGAAATTTTTAATGTGAAATACCTCCCTCTGACCTTTTCTAAGTCTTTCAGCTCATTTCACAAAAATCTCTTCTTCCAGACTTCCTAGTGCATCTTACCTTATCACCCAGATAAGTTCTCGGCTCTTAGCAACCTAGCTAGTGTTCCGACACATTGTCGAGCCAACTATGTTCCTAAGCACCACTACCTCAGATTATAAATGGACTACACATTTTAGCTTTTAAAAGGTCTTGCCCCCCTGCCCTCATGGGAGTAGGGGATTTATGGATTGAAAGCTTATTATGTCTTAACCTTTCCATTTCCCTTTTACTCTTCGATGGCTAGCTAGTGATAAGTGCCATCGTAAAGTGCATGAACCATCTGAACACTCCTCCGGGTTGAGGAACTAGCACGGGAGAGTTTACATTCGGTTTACATGGAAGAATATGAGCTTTTCCTGGTTTACCGTTTTTTAACCAGAATGGACCTTTGCCTCATTTTTGATAATAGTGATAATATTACTTATATATTTCTTTATAGATTATAGAAATATAAGCATAGAGGTTGTCATCCAACATGATGGAGTGACTGGGGAAGAGTAAGGTAAAGACGCGAGAGCTCCGAAGTGGCACATTCTATCTTATAAAATGTGTGTTTCTGGCCAAAGGCAGCAGTACACTATTATTGATTGTTAAATACAGGTAGAAAGTCAAATTCTGTCCCATTTACCCAAGACTCCATGTAAATCCAGTCAAGCATGAGACCAACAAGAGGTGATTAAGTTGCTAGTTTATTATTGTTTCAGATCAGATTAAATATTCTCAATCAGCATCAAGACGCTCTGGGATTTTTTTTTTTTAAACAGGGACTTACCATATGTAATCCTCCTGCCTCAGCCTCCTCAGTTGCTGGGATTATAGATGTACACCCCATGCCAGACTTCAGTTGAACCACTGTTAGAACTCAGGCCTCTCATGTGGTCCCAGCCTATGGAGCATAGCAATTTAGGGATGTGCCACCAAGGCTGGGTCCAAGATGCACTGAGATTTTTGACTGAAGTCTAAGCTATAGGAGCTCCTTAGCAATGCAAAAGTCATGGAAAAATAATGTGACCATGACATCTTGGAATTTGCTTAGTACTTGTCGCCCAAGGATTTAATAAAGTAGGTTTTCAATTTTATTATAGGTATGATTCTATGATTAGTGTCTCTAGCAGGATATTTGAATCAGCAATGTTGGGAAGGCTATAAAAACTAAAGATCAAATTCTGTAATAGCAAATAGTTCCAATAAATAAGACAAGCTGCAGAAAACATAAGGGGATTGAATAACAACAACAACAACATTTTTAAAAATGTGTAATAGCAGAGAGCTCTTTTTGATGCTCTCTGATTTTTGAAAGGAATTTAAGCAGTGGACAGGGAGACAATGTAGTCTGTTTTAAAAAGCACAGCCTTCACCCCTCAGAAACAAACAGAGCTAGCTCTGTAGCCTAGTGGTTAAGAGCTGGATCCCACGTTGCCAACCATTACTTGAAAAACACTCTGAGTATGTGTGCATATGTGTGCCCACTCTCCCAACAGGAGGGAGAAGGGATTGCAGTGTGACCACCCTTGATTGAAGGGTGCTTTCTCCCCCTGCCTATTTTTCTTTCTGTCTGTTGAGCACCCATCCTCTCTGATAATGAAACAAACAAAAACAGCACAGGCTCAGAACTTCAGCCCTCAGTGAATATGGTGTTGATGTGCCCAAGAAGAAGGGGATACTTAGAGAAGGGGTTGCTTTACTAACCAATAAAAGCTCAGGTTAATTATTCAATTTGATTCTTCTCCATTAAGTGCAATAATCTTCCAATTGGAGGTGTAAATGGTAGAGTTAGAAGAGATGATAATAGACACATTATTGCAAATGCATTTATGTGTAGACCCAGATAAACCACATCTCAGATGGAAAAACTCAAAGCTAGTGTAGG